CTCCCCCCCCCCCCCCTCTTATTGTTACTGGAAGTTAATGTGTATTGGCTCTAAAAAGGAGGTGACATTTTCCCTCTCCACTCCCCCCATAGCATCAAACTGGCTGTTCCTCCACTGCATGCTGCCACCATTTCTCTGCCCTCCCTGCTTCCAGAATCGGAGCTGGAGCAGGGAAGGTGCAAGGTGTAGGGGAGCACAATAATACCCAGAGTGCAATACTGGTCAGCCATGCCTGTATTTCCAGGTATTCCCTGGATGTGTTTTGTCATGTACAAACGAAGTTTGGTTTCAGAAAACAGGCAACAAACACATGGATTTAAGTTCCCTGGGTCCACATGCTGCCTTTTCTGGTGATTATTTCTCCCTCTTAAAGTTAGGAAAAAGGACAGGTAGGACCAGGCCATCTGAATAGGTGACTGGTCCTACTGGGATTGTTCCAGAGTCCACTGAAATTTATGGGCTTTGGATCCAGGCCTGTTTTCTTCTGATTTCTGTGGGTCTGGAAGGTAAGTTTAGTCCTTGGTTTGCGAAGGTGCAGTGCCCAGGACCTAGCTAGACTGTGAAGCAGGATGCACTATTCACAGTTCAAAGGTCTATGGGTGGAATAAGTACATGGAGGATTTTTCAGTCCATGACAGGATTACTCTCTTTTTTTTAATTTCACTGTGAGGTCAAACATAGTTTTCTACTCTAAGCCCAACAGATCAATTCTTGAAGTGGGCATGTAATGTATTCAAATACAGGGATGGGCATTCTTGATTTCATTGGTAAAAAAGTCCCTTGTGAATGCAGGCAGGCTAGCCCAGTGAGTCAAGTTTTTTTAGTATCTGTCAGACTGGGTGCATCTACACAAGGCGCTATGGTGACATAGTGTCGCAGGCACTGACCATAATGCCGACACTCCTGCGCGGTAGGGTTGGAAACTGCTGGGACTGCTCAGTAACGGCAGTTATGGCATGGTCATTTGGTACTTGCTAAAGCAGCTGTGCAGTTGGGCACACTTGTAGATGTGCCCACTGAGAGAGACATGCATTGTGTGTGATCAGATGTTTCTGTGTACAAGTTGCAGCTGTTCCTGTCCTGTCAGACCGATGTCCAAGTTGGCCTGTTGCTGACATCAGCAGTCCTAGCTATGAAGCAGCTCAGGAGTCTGCATGAAAGGATCAAGGAACAAAGCTGAAAATTGAATTACCACTCATTAAAAGGGCAACTGGAAAGGCTGCAGAGCAGCCACATGTACAATATATGGTACAGCCTGTCTAATGAAAGGAGTACAAACAATGTGGGCAGGGGAGGGGCTGAGTCAAGTAAAAGTGCAACCTTCCTATATTTTCCTACAATACCTTCTGTAATCTGGGACAAAGCTACTGTTGTTGCTCTGATATAGGGCTCCGACTGACTAACCAATTTCTCCTAGAGCTGCATTCCATAGACTCAAAAGTCAAACCACCCAGAAAAGGCACTGGCATTTATATTAGAAATACCTTGTAAAGGACAAGTGAACGAGGCAATAAGAGAATAATTAGATATCCATAGTGCATAAAATTCCTCAAGTAATAGACTTAGTAACATTGGTTAAACATTTGTCCCTCCCAACTCCCTCTTCTTGCCCCCATGCCCAGAAAATCATGTGCACCCTTAGGTACTGGAGATGTGTACTAAGTGCATTATTTAATCTACAAATCCATGTCTAAGAGATGGGGCAAACTGGACTACCTGATCATGACCTAAGCTTGAATTCTGGGGAAGCTACCCTTCAGATGCAGCTCTCAGTATAGTAACTGGAGTCTACCTCAAGTAACTCAGTGATGAGTACATTGCAGGTTTATAGACAGGATGAATTCCAACACTGCAAGAAAATAAAGTCCAGTTACACTGAGACCCAAAGTAAGAGTCCGTTATTTAGGCAAACAGCGAGGGGAGAGATTATGAAGTCTCCATCATAGGAGCCCCAGCTAACCAAAGCCTTGGCTGGGATGATCTAGTTGGGGGGTAGTCCTGCTTTGAGAAGGGGGTCAGACTAGATGACCTCCTGAGGTCCCTTCCAACCCTATTTTTCTATGATCCTTAAGTCATAGGCTTTAGAAGCTAAGAGCCAAATAGGGGTAGGAAAGGGTGGACTTTCCTTAAGCTGAAATGTTGGTGTAGCTTTCTGCACCATAGGGTTTAATAAACTACTATCGCAATGTACAGCACTCTGGATGCAGTCAGAAGGGTGCTGCATAGTGTGAGGAGTCAAACAAAGTGTGAAGAAAGAAGCAGATAAGTGCAGGCCCAGGCTTGTCACTGCTTGACCAGTCCCCTATCTTGTATTGCCCAGCCCCTCTGCAAGGGTGTAAGCACTATAATATATAAATCAGTTTTTGAAACTGGGTGCCACTCAATTTACAAGAGTGGCCTCCAGGCCATTGAGCCTCAAGTCCAATGAGGGGGGGCTCCAGGCCCAAACAGTTGAAAACCACTGTGCTATTGGATGTCCTTTCACCAATAAGGATCTTGGTAGAGAGATGCTATGAAAGGATATTCAGAGATCAGGCTATCGAATAAAGGGAGTGATTTAAATAGTGATTGAAAAGATAGGGAAGGGGGGAAAACCCACCGGGCTTATTGTTTTGTTGTTCTCTCCAACCTGCTCTGCCTCTCACCTCTGCCCATTCTCCCCTTTTC